CTCATAATATTATGACTTTAATCTCGTAATATTACAACCTTAATCTCATAATATTATGGCTTTAATCTCGTAATATTACGGCTTTAATCTCGTAATATTATGATTTTAATCACGTAATATTATGACGTTATTTTTATACAACTTTATTGTTGTAATATTATGACTTTATTCTCGTAATTAAAAAAATCTCATTGTGTGGCCCTAATACTCCGTCGTACTTCAGACCCAGGCCGCCTTTGCAAAAAAGATCAGTGAATGAGTGACACGGGCATCAGGGTTGCCAGGTAAAAATTATATATATTTTTTGCCAGTCCTTTTCTGTGTACATTTTCACCAAATAAAACACACACCTTATCTTATTACACCCTCACTCAGCTCATATGACAGTTTGGGTSAAAATCCACTAAATTTAAAAAGACAGTACAACAGTTTACTATGTCCCATCTTGCAATCCTGCCTGGCACATTACTGCAGCAGTACCATGTAAACGTGTGATTTTTTTTCTTCTTTTTTGTTTGTTTGCCCCAATAAACATGAGAAAAACACCAGCATTTCCAGAGACCTGTCTCGTGTTAACAGGGCCTCAGCCTCCACCAGCTAGCCCATAATGGTGTAATGATCACAATAATGATGGTCCTAATTGTTCAAAACAATGTTTGTTCTTCTGTTTATGAGATTCTATTAGTCCTAAATAGCCTGGGGAAATAAAAAAATGCTCTTGGGACTGGGGGATAACACTATCTGGACAGGGGTGGGTGGCAGTAGGAGTAGCCACCATTATTTTAGGGGTGCCCTCCGGTGGTATCCCTTACTCAAATGGTCTGTCCAAATTAGTCCCATTGAATTGCATTGGATCATTGCTTTTCTCTTGTATCAACCCATTTTGAAGCATCATCACCACTAAGATTGTTTCCCCCCCCCCGTGGATTAATATATTAAATGTTTTGTGATGTGTTTAAAATTGTCACCAGGCCAGAAATTCATAATCCAAACAAATACAGAGTTATCTACCAATCAGGCCTAAAACTTCCCAAACAAAATTCCCAATTCAGCCAGATCCTCTTCACTTACTTTCACCTGATCTCGACCGTACACCATTCCCACCTGGAGGCAACAGTTTTCAGCACCCACGGTGCTAATAATCACACACTTACCCTCTGTCTCAACATACACAACGCCATGTAGTGTTTTCATGGACACATAAAGCTATAAAGAATTGATTGCGTCAGGAGGGGGCTGGGGGGCTGTGATCAAAGCATTGTTCACACCATTTCTTTCAGCTTCCCGCTCGCTCCTGATCAAGTCGTGTTATATCAGCCCAGCCTACACCCATCTGCCACTACTGAGAATCATAGGCGCAAAATCCAGCCTTCGTTTTAATGAAGTCATGCTGGAGTTTGTGCGTGAGTGGGAGAGACTGAAGCAGACACCTCTCTCTGATGTTCACATTTCATATCTGCCTCTGCCCAGGAGCTTGCCTTTTCTGAATTATTAAGCAGTTTGGTCTTTCTTCTTCATTTTTTTTGCCTATTTCTTTTTTTCACTCCCCTTTTCTATTCCGTTTGCTACATTTTCTCTGTCTCTCTCATGCAAACTCTCTTATTCCCCCGTGCTCTTCCTTTTCTCRCTTTTCTGTGTCAGTTCAACTAGCTCTGGCTGAAGCAGCGGCTCTCACTGAGATGCAAATGCCTTGCCTTTGAAGGGGCACAGTTGGAGCGTCAATTAATCCAGCCATTTACTCGCCTAAAAAAATTGCTCTGCAACTATTGTTAGTGGACGTTTCATCTCTTTTGTGCTATCGGCCATTTTTATCACTGTCCTCATGCCACTGGATTCAGTGGACTCTTCAAAGATCCAGGAGACGTTATGATAGTACAAAAGTGAGGAAATGACATGGGAAGCTGAAGAATCAAAGGTGTGCTGCACGTTCCATCATTTCTCTGTTGTTCCCTAAACTCCTAATAATGCCCAATAACTCCATGTAGTCGCACACTAACCTGCCTCCTTATTACCTATGCCCTCCCCAGCCTGAGACTTTTCTCCAACCTCTGTTTTAGATCTTACCCGCCCCGTTCGGCGCCACCCCTCTAACTCCGCTCTCTGTTTCTCGGCCGCTYGGCCTTCAGATCTCAACGCTCCGAGCCCGTGCCTGAACAGGAGCTGCGATCACGGCGCCACGTGCGTGGTGAAGAACGACGAGCCGGTGTGCGAGTGCCTCGAGGCCTGCTCCCAGACGCCGGACCCCGTGTGCGGATCCGACGGCCACGGCTACGGCAGCCCGTGCGAGATGCGGGCGATGAGCTGCGCCCTGCAGAAGGCCATTCACATCCGGCACAAGGGACCGTGCGGTGAGTAATCACGCTGTCAAAAACGCCACCGAACCACAAGAAATCACTCACGCAAATAAGCGTCAATTCACGTTCCGACACTTGCACAAAGCTGCTGCCGGTCCAAAGCCAAACCGTTCAGTTCACACAAACATTTTGTCTGTTTTTGTTTTTTACTTGTACCTTTCGTGACTGTAAATTGTTTGTTCCGCTGATTGTTTTGTGTAGGTGGCATTCAACAACAATCGAGTGCACAGATAAATGTGGCTTAAAGTGGGTTATTTCTCAGTTGGTACATTATTGTCATGGCAACTAAAGATGGGCACAGAGAGTGTGACACTTTGTGTTGTACTTGCAAGTGTACATTTAAACATGACTTAATGGGTCAATATTATGTGTTTCTCAGGCATACATTTAAATACTATACCATAATAAAGTATCTATGTCACCTTTAGCTGTTATTAAAATGCTGTTATTATGTTTAAATAGAAAATAAACTTATCTTCTCATCACTTCCTCTTCTAAACGCCTTGAAATTGGTCTCTGTCTCTTTAAGAACCACCTTCTGCTTCTCAGCAGACAGTTTCACTTTCAGTTTCGCCCGTTACTGCCGAGAGCCTGCAGGAGTCATGGGCGGGGTGTGTGGGGAGGTGTGTGTGTGTGTGTGCACTCTGCCATGAGGAAGTTCGGCTTAAAAACACATCCCAAAAGGCGTTTCTGGTCCCAAAAGGCGTTTCTGGTCCCCACCTGTCGTTTTGCTCCTCAGCATGGCTTCCTAAAAACGCTGCAGGATTTCTCAAACATGCATGAATGAGTCAAAGCAAGGCTTTGGGCATGTTTTTATGAGAGTATAACATTATAACATGATATAAAACTCAAAAAAGTTGATTTTACATGATATTGCCCCTTTAATATAAACTGAATATACAATAAAATACAATATAGTAATGTAAACTCAATATATACACTCAAAAAAGACGTTTGATTAATTTATATGGAGAAAATGCTGACAAAACATGCATCTATTGAGTTTATTGAGTTTTATTTTTTTAAATAGACTTATCCTGCTTTTAAATCTTTCTTTTTCACATTTAAATCATTCAGTTGGGGTCTATATAAAGGGGAACTGCAATACCTAATTGTAACTCCACAAGCCCCGCTTCTTTTCTGCGGTGTGTCTCAAATCAAYTSGTTTTGARACTGTCTCTTTAAATCCAAAGTCCATAAGTCCATTCTAGTTTGACAGAGGGGTTTGGGACTATATAGCAGTGCAGAAATGTTTTATYWGAATTAAAAAATGTCAACAARKTGAGATTTGTCCATCCAGCCTTACATGTTGGAGCCAGAGTCTGACCCAGAGCCAGGGAGCATGAAGACCAACAAATTGTACATGATTTTGCTTAAGATGACCCCTTTAAATAAATATTTTTTTTGTAGTTTCATGTAAATTAAACATTGTTAAATGAAGATGGAAAATTAGATTGACCGTTTTCCCTGCAGTGATTTCATTCTGGAACAAGAGTCTAGTCTTGGTCCACATATTCTCTTACAGTTGACTCATCTATTGGCTCTCAATTTAMCTGTTTTAAATCACTTGTTAAGTGAACATTTAAACACGTTTTCATTCATTCRCCAAAACTGGCATGAGTAACACACTACTTGTCCTTACAAGGTTCATTTATGTGTCATTGAAAGCTTTAATTCGTGGAGTGAATTCAAACAACCGATTAAACTGCAAATAGAAGAGAATTTCAGAAGAAGAAAGCCTGCTTCTACAATCCAAATAGAACGACTCAGACCTATTACTAGTGYTGAATCAGCCCTAAAATATTTTGTTGACAGAACCCAGATATTTTAAGTAACAATAGAATTGGTTCCTTCCTCATGTTTTATTCAAAMCATATTCACGCAAGTTTAAATAATTAAATCACCCCATAATGTCATTTATAAGGCTGCGAAAATATTAGGAAAGTGTAAGAATGATCGCCTGCAGGTAAGGAAGGATCTCTCCCTGTGGAATATAATTTCATTCAATTTAATTACCAGTGCCACGTTTCTCAGGGGCTAAAATTATAAAGCAGGGATGTTGACTATAAACACATATAAACTCGTACTCAAGGGCGACCCCCTGGGGCTCGTTTCATACCCAACAAAGTCAAAACAGTTTCTTTCACGCTGCGGGATTTCGTGATAACTGCTCTGCTAGCATTCATTCATTCCTTCAGTCCTCAGAGCTCTGCTTCTTCCCATCTAAACCATTACCAAGACTCCCAATTCGCCTGTTTTGACCTTTCAGTGAGGATGCACTTTACTGCCAATGAAGTGTGAAGCATACTTGTGTGTAATTGGCTACATGAGTCACTTGGCTTTGTCTTGCAGTGTCGGTGTATCAGCTAGTCATTAGTGCACCGGCAACAGCAGAGCTTCAAGTGTTAAAAATATCTTCTTATCCACTATGCAGGCTCGCAGCCATATGGATCGCCTTCTACAGCTTGCCAAACCCACTTAGTAATACTCTTGATGACTTAATGCCATATTGCAAGGCCTATTTTCCCATGGACTCAGATGATGTCGTATTTTTTTTTTCTGTGTGTACAATCAAGCCATTTCCTCTCTCTCTGCGCACACATTGCAGAAGCACAGCAGTTATTATCCCTCTGGTCCAACTCTCTCATCTACCTCACTGGCTCATTTTCACAACAATACATTTCTTTTCTTGCATACTTTGAAGCCGTTACCAATTAAACTCAGTTTTTCCTCTGCAGTGCTGCACAGTTATTGGAGCAGAATGATCAATAGAACTGAATTAGTGTCACTTTGCTGGTGTACGCCACAGTTTTATCCTAATTGTGGAAATGGTTTGTTAGTTTGGAGGATGATTGTGCGAACGGGTCTAAGCAGCAGTTTGAGTTYTTCACGCACCTAGCAGGTGACAACAATTGCAGCTGTAAAGAACCTCTGTGGGTTCTTCCCTTTTTACCGCCTTGTGTAAAAGCATCAGTCATCTTCCCATCCCAGTCTTCTCTAAATTGAAAAACCAGTTTGCGGGCATGTAAGTCGATGAGAAATGCAACGAGAAGCAGTGTTTGGGCGGCACGCGGGCGCTTTGAGTCAGCGTGGCGCCCCACACCGCAGGTAGATCCGTCAGCCAGGGGTCCCACGGCGGTAATGAGTAGTTTTTATTTTAAAAAGCACGAGGCAGAGCGAGCAGGCGTAGAGGAGGTCCCTGTTTGTAATCCAGCACTATGGATGGCTCTTGGCTCCCAGAGGAACAGGCCTGCGTCAGCGCGATGGTGCCATAAAAATGCTGAGGCACTGGCTTGCCAAGCGCAAGGCAGCCCAGGAATGATGGTGATAATAATGTGGGTTATTTCTGGGCTGTTTGCACAGCTTTACTGGGCTTTATTCAACACCATAACAAGTGAGTGACTTAAGCTATTATCTCACCTAATTATCATGGGCTCCTCCAACCACTAATATACTTTACATTTTTATGAAGCAGGAAAGGGGGGGGGGAATAAAACGTTTTGCCCCGAGGTGCAGCTGAAGACTCTTCAGTAAATAACTTTTTAGAATCCTCAGCATTTATTTTTCAGAAGACGACTTTATTTTATGTTTGTTTACCAGTCTCTGCTAGTGATTTTCATGATCACCTCTACACATTTGAAAGGTTTTCTTATGTGCTCAAAATATTCATGGAAGAAACACGGTTTAAAGTTCCTATCCACTTCAGTTTGTGTATAGCATCAATTCACACCAAAAGTCATCTCAGGGCACTACACAAACATGGAAACTAAATTTAAAGCAGCAATATTATTCAAATCCAGGTTCAAACTTCTTTTATKGAAAGTTGTAAAAGTTATCCCTCTGTGGAAGCCGGCAGATTACGCTGAATAAATTGACCATCCTGCGCAGCACGAAGGAGACAGTGGGAAGGAATGACTCCTGTTTAACRAGAAGAAACCTCCAGCAGAGCCGGGCTCAGCATGAGTGAACATCCGGCCGGGGTTAAGAGGACAGGAAAGAGACACGAACTCTTCACTGCTCAGGTTCCACTGACTCTTTTAGAAACATCTTAGGACATTTTTATTTAGACGGGCTTTTAGTTATTTGCTCTCTGTTAAACACTTTGTGAGGTTTGAATCTGTTAAAGTGGCTATATAAACAAAGTTACTTACTTAGATTAGCCTGGCCCTTGCCTTCCTACGCAGTTCCACTCAATTCTAGTTTCCCTTCACTGCTTCGTCTGGGACTTCTCCCATAGACAAGGATTTCTTCGGTAGAATTTGACCTGGCCCAATCAGCAAACAGAGGGAGGGGTTTTGAACGACAACATCAATTTTCTGCACAGTGTCTGCTTTAGAAATGGCAGCAGAGGAAGTGAATGAAGCCAGTCTGTGTTGATAAGGGTTCCAAATTAAGTTAAATTTGTCTGACAAAGCCTGTAGGACTTATTTACAGCCGTCTCATTTGGCTCGGTACTTCTCTCCTCTCAGAAGGGGGATGATTGTTTACAGCGCACGCAATTTCCGGTTAGCTTCTTAGCTTAGCCTCCTTCACAGTGAAGCTGGCGCACATGCGTCGCGGCTAACGTTAGCGATTGGGTAAATCAGATCCAATCGTTTTAAACTTCAACAGAGGCCACGCCTCCAGGAAGCTATCGCTTCTCAATAGCGGAGGGTCCAGACCCTCTGTACGCAGCAAAGCGAAGGACAAGGGGCTGGTTTTTACCAGGCTATACCTTCTGCAGCAGTCGAAGCCTATAGTAGCAGAACTAAGGGAAAGCTGAGGAAACCCAAGACAACCTGAACTATAAGATTTATCAAAAAGGAAGGTTTTAAGCTGAGTTTTAAAAGAAGGCAGGGCCTCTGCCTCGCAAAGTTCTGCCTTCCTTATTAGAAACTCTAGGAACCACAAGTAAACCTACAGTCTAAGAGAGTGAAGTGCCCTGTTATGAAGCTATGGAACAATGAGATATTTATTGAAAAGTGGAGCTTGGTTGTTGAGAGCTTTAAATTRAC